AAGAAGAAAGAAAACGAATCAGAAACTTATTTCATTATTCACCACACTGGTACCAATAGTCTACTGTGATTGAATCAGAATCAGAAAAGGTTTGAAAACACTCGATTCTTTCCTCGATTATACTGTGGAAAGAGCTAATGAGAGAAATTCGTCCAAAAATGAGAAGATTTGTCAAATTTGAGTTGGACAAGTCTACTGCGCGAATGATAAGAACTGTGAATGTGTGATAAGAAAATAAATGGAGAATTTAAGCACTAACTGACAGAAAAATTGAGATTAAAACTAAAAAATAACTAATTACTTTTTATTGAAATATTATTTTAATTTTCTACTAAATCATATTATAGGTGGAATAATTTTAAAAAGTATATAAATATATACAATATTAATTTAAAACATACTCGATAAATGATAAAAATATATTTTTATCAATATATGTTTAATCAATATATATTAATAGAAATATATATAATTGTTTAAAAACAAATTTCAATTTTTTTACTTAAAATAATATAAAATTAAATATTTTTTTATTAGTTGAGTGAAAATTAAATTATTAAAATAATATATTTATTTATTTATTTTACTAATATAATACCTAAAAATAGTAGTAATGTTCTTTTTAGCAATATGTACAAGAAATAAATGAATCACGTGATTATTTTTATTTACATAACTCGTCATAATTATTGATGGAGAAATAACTTTTTCCTTTTTTTTTAAATCATGCAACGTGGCTATGAAGATGAGGCTGGTATCAACGCATATCCTCTTTCGTTCATAATTCTAACTACATACATCAATGAACAATTGCAATTATTTTCAATTCCAGAATATTAATTAAATAATATTTTTACTTATTTAGAGTAAATATAATAGAATATATATTTAAATATTATTAATTATTTGATAATAAATATTTATATATCATGTATATGCGATACTTAAGACAAAAATATCAAAAAATAACAATAATAAACTAATTACTTATGTTATTTAATCCGTGCAATAATATATACAAACACGTAATATAATCACTTAACTAGACATTCATTTAAATTATGGGGTTTTGTTATAAAATTTAAGGGATATCACATAATTTATTAAAATAAAAATAATTGTTAAATCATGTGCAGGGGAAACAATTGAGGGTAAACTACAAATTTAGTACCTAAACTATTAGTTTTGATTCGTTTTAGTACCTAATTTTTCTTCTTCTTCTTTTTATCAAAATCATACATAACGTTAATTTTTGTTTCATTTTGAACCCGCCATTAAAACTTAACGGACAGACTGACGTGGTATAACTTCGGTGGATGGACGACCAATTTGAATGGTGAACCATGAGAGAATGACGAATCGACTAACATAGTTCAATTTCAAATCCATTGGATGGTGGAATATGGAGATCAAAGGACGGAAAAATCGAAGAGCCATCATTGATTTGAGGAGATTGAGGTGTTTCTTGGTGAAACATAGGCTGGAATTGCGTTTAGTGGATCGAAATGGTGCGGGATAGAATGTTTGGACTTCATCATCCGATGATTGTAGACGCGATAGCCGGCGAGTCCGTCCGTTAAGTTTTTAATGACGGAGTATTAAAATGAAACAAAAATAAAACGTTAAGTGTGGTTTTGAAAAAGATAAAAGTGTAGGTGTTAAAACTGACCAAAACTAATTATTTATGTATTAAACTCGTAGTTTACACATAAATTAATGATATGTGATTTTATTTTTTTCTTAAATAAAGTTCCAAAATTTTATTTTGAATTATATATTGTCGTTCTTATTATGTTTTATTATGTTTGTGGAATTTGAAAAGAACGAAAAGGCACGTATATATTTTATTGAAATAAAATAAGAAAAAAACCAAAATTATGGAAACTTCAAAGAAGCTTCCTAAAACTAGCATAATTTCCCCTCTTCGCCTGGGGTTTTCTGTGGAAAAAAAAAGATATTTTTAAAATTGTAACGATAAATTTGAGTTAATATAGTAATTTTAAATGTTATTATTTTAAAATAGTTTAATAAAGCTCATTCTTGTGTAACAATTATTATTTTTAATAAATATATATTATATGTATATATGAATAAAATTTATATTATAAAATTTATCTTGAGACATCAACTTAGTGAGATTGGTCTCCTATCGCAAAATTATCGATTGTGGTTTTCTGTCAAAATTATAAGGGTAAACTGTTTAGAGCCGTCATAATCAAATGTTATTATTAATAATTGGTGTAATGAACATGGATACCTAATGATAAAAAAGAATCGGTCAAAAAGAACCCTCGAGAAAAAAAAAACCAATATCACCTCATTTTCTTCTTAGAACCTCCGTCGATGTACTTTTTTTTAATAATGATTGTAGATTGAGCTGTGGAACTTGTATGCACAACCGCAAGCTTTTTGGGCAGCCCAATTGCAGTTGCAACGATGAGACCAATCAACCCTCCATTGCCAAAGAAGCATATGACGAGGAGAAGAAAAGAAAATAGGGGACATAAACAACATGACACACTCTCTTCACTCGAATTACTCTTTCTATGAGCGCGCATGACGTATAAACAATATCGTTTTGGGTCTTGTTTTTACAAACACATTCCTCTGGCTTGTCCCTGCTCGGATCTAGCACACTTTTCGCGGCTCTAGAGATCCGAACATATGAAAGAAAATACTAACCTGAGATCGTTAAGCACCACCATTTTCGGTTACGAATGAAAGGCTGATGGATCTTCCGAGCTTATCAGCCAAGAAGCAGCAAATGTTGCTACCATGGATTTTCATCACTACGATGCACTATAACACCAGAGGTAGCTCACTGAACATGTAAATAGTCGCATATTAGAAATCAACGTCCATCTAGGATGACGAGTAAAAATCTCCCATAATGGTTCTCCGATTACATTTTATATAGGTAATTTTAGTAATCATCGCATATCCAATGACCATAGGAGCGGTCTCCCAAAATAAAAAATTCTCACCTAAATAAGGCTCAACATGCTTCAAGGGTCCAATTAAGTTCTTAAATCGGCTTGAGGTTATCACTAGTCAACTTTCATATGTTGACTCGAAATTTTGACTATTACAAGATGCCTTTACCCTAGCGAGAAGGACTCCCTCATCGTTTATACCAAGGCAAAGATGGCTCAGCCTAACCTATAATGTTTCCCTGGACGCGTAGAGATGTCTCCACTTTCCTTAGAATGCCACCAAGGCTAGGTTACCTTCTCTACCAATCGAGAGCGTTGAGATATATTTACTTCTCTCTTTCGTCATATTTTTAACACACACTGAAAGAGTTAAAATACCTATGTCCAACTATAATTCTAACATGTGATATTAAAATTATGGAAAGTATTGATTAATGCATGATATTGTGGTAAATTAGGTTTAGATTGTATAAAATGATGATATTATGTTTTTAATATTGAGATTGGTTTGTTGGTAGGTTGGTATTGATAAAGGCATGCAGATATGTTTTTATGGTGCACAAATAAGAAAGCATGTACTACCTAGGGAGTTTCGATGCTCCACTGTTCTCTGCATAAAAATGGTTGGTTTAAGATTTTTTTAAGAAGTATGAAAAGCAATTTAGTCCACAAGTCTAATGATTTATTTCATAATGTAAATCTTGCTTGGAAGATAAAATGACCAAGAGGTCTTTAGTGCCAAAAGGTATAAGGGCTACTGAAGTCTTAAAACTTATTTATAGTAGACTAACGTATGTGGCCCTATGAGCGTTAGTGCTATAGGAAGTTATAAATATTACATAACTAATAAGTCTACACCTAAGACTCCATTGGAGATGTGACATGGTAGGAAGTTAAAATTCTGGTAGACTTCTTACCACATAAGCAAAGATATTTCATGTCAAATCTTCATGTCAAAATAGTTTTTTTAAAAAGTGTATCTAACGTGATACATCTTTATTTAAAGAGTATTATTTTTTAAAAAATTATAAATAAATGTGACTCTTAAATAATTGTTTTTTTTCTAATATATTTAGATAAAAAACCGTTTAACTTATTCAATGTTTTCCGAATATAACATGATCATACGTCAAAATTTTCTATCATCGGCCTTCCAAAATATTATATCAACAAAGCCAAAAATATTTATAAAACACCGGGAGTAGAGGGCAAAAAGGACTAAATCAAAATTTACAGATGTTTTCCTATTTCATACAATAAATAAAACAACAACAACAAAATCATATTCTCATATGCAATGGGGTAAGGGGAGGTTGGGTAGTAGGCTACCCCCAACGCCAGGTTGAGAGCAGCTTCCGTGAAAGACCTCCGACAGTCAGAAAATTAAAAATAAAGATAAAATACAATGCATGTATAAATAAATAAATACATAGTTGAACAGTAATCATATACAGTCTTCATATGCGCGTCTGTAAGGGTAAGTAATCCCTACAAATGAGGAATAAAGTCAAATGAGTTAAAACGTAAACTAAGGCAACACTACTCCGCTACCCTAGTTCTAAGCCTTCATAATTTCCAATGACAGAAACGTATAAAAAGTATAAGTCATTGAAAATTACTACAAAGGCATTAAAAAGAAGACAGAGATACTACACCCTATGGCTGTGATCCACACTACTCGACTACCCTGGTCTTAAGTCTTAATACTTTCCTATCAGAGGTCATGTCTTCGGTAAGTGTTAAATCCTTCAAATCAGATCTCAAGCAGTCTACCCACTTCCTCCTTGGTCGTCCTCTCCTTCTAGCACCGTCGACTGTAATCGACTTTACCCTCCTAACCCCATCCGACGATTGTCGCCTAAGGATATGTCCAAACCACCGTAATTTGTGAATAAGCAATTAATCAAACTGGAGCACAAAGATAATATTGCATAATACAGGGACTATAAGCCCAATTAGAACCTTGTCTTTTATTCGGTTACACTAATCACTTAAACAACGGTGTGGTACCGTTAAAAGTGTCACGGTTTAAGGAAAAGAAGAGAATAGAATCGGGTGAACCGGATAAAAGGAGTCGGTTTGGGCAGTTTTTAGAAGGATATAAAGTAACAAGAAACATCTGGAGAGAGCGGCTTTAGGGCGTAATAAGAAAAGAAAAACAAGCCGTAGAAGAGGGCTCTCTCTTGGTTCAGCTTATTCCCCCTTCACTACTACTACTACCCCCTTAACAAAATCTTTTCAGGTAATTTTCCAGATCTAATCTGAAATTTCCATGTTTGTTTTTGGGCTGCTTTTGCAATTTTGATTTTATCTTTTCTGTTTTGGCGGTTTGTACAAAAAGATGGATCGTTATCAGAGAGTGGAGAAGCCGAAAGCAGAGACACCCATTGACGAGAATGAGATTCGTATTACCAGTCAAGGCAGGATGCGTAATTATATCACTTATGCCATGACTCTGCTCCAGGTTTTTTTTCTTTCTTTCCGGGAGTTTAAATTTCTGCATGTTTAGTTCTTTACTAGATTTGAGTGTTTGATTATTTTGTGAAATAACACTTTTGATAGGAAAAGGGATCGAATCAAGTAGTTTTTAAAGCAATGGGCAGAGCCATTAACAAGACTGTGACTATTGTGGAGTTGATTAAGGTATTATCTGTAATCTATGTGAATAGTTATATTGGTTGGTTGTTTCTTAGGGTGGCTGATAATGTGCTCCATGTATTTGTAATGCAGAGAAGAATTGTTGGTCTACATCAGATTACTTCAATTGGATCCATGGATATAACAGATATGTGGGAGCCTCTGGAGGAAGGACTCCTTCCGTAAGGACTATATAATTTCTTATTGTTTTTTTTTTTGTCTTTAATATGTTCCTTTATAGAATTTTAATTACCTTTTTTTGATTACCACAGTTTGGAGACCACAAGGCACGTGTCAATGATAACTATAACCCTTTCGAAAAAAGAATTGGATACATCCTCTGTTGGGTAAGTTCATGTACTTGTTGCTCTTTACTGATTTCAGTACATTGTTCCTCGTTATGCTTGTTTATCTTGAAATATTAAATGAAGGTCGATTGGCTTCTTTTTGTTAATATGAAGCAAGTTGGCTTTACCTTTGATGTTTCCGTGCTAGTTAACTTACATTTTATGTATGTTGGGAGCTTAGAGAATAATCAGAATATTAACATATGGAAGGTTCTATGCTCTGATTATGGTGGCTCGATGTTTTATTTGACATGAGTGACTCATTAGTTGCCTCTTCATCCAGATATCAGCCTCCATTACCAGCTGATCAGGTGAAGGCATCCACAGAAATTGATCATGAAGGAGGTAGGGATACATGTCATTATCTAAACTGCTGTTTCTTTTTGGTGATGTTGAATGCCTATGTTTGTTTTTTTATTTTTATTTTGTTTGGCAGAGAGCTCTCCTACTGGCCGTGCTAGAGGCCGTGGTGGTAGAGGAAGGCCAAGGGGTAGAGGTAATGTCAATTTTGAATATTGGGATGCACTCTGATAGATGTTATTTTTTGTTGTTATGTTAGGGGCATGGTTTTCCATGGCTCTGAATGTTATTGAATATTATGTGAGAAATATTTTAAGCAAATATTTAGTTGTATTCTTCTTCAGGGAATGTCTTTGTCTCTGCTGAGTATGAGGATGGGGGCTGGGACCGCTCTCGTGGCTATGCTAGGGGTAGAGGTCGAGGAAGAGGACGTGGCTTCCGAGGCCGAGGGCGTGGAGGATACAATGGACCCCAGTTTGACAGGCTGCAAGATGATGGCCATGGGCGTGGAGGATACAATGGATCCCAGTTCGATAGGCAGCAAGATGATGGCTACAATTTTGAAGCCCCTCCCCAAGGTGGTCGTGGTGAGTTTTCTCTCTTATTTTTCTGTTATAATAAAAATTTAACATGTTTAACAGTTTTTCACTTGAACTATGATATGCATGTCTATCATCACCACTAATGTCCTCCATTTTTGGTACCTTTTAACATAATGCAATTTAGCTATTTTGAACATGAAGAATCAAAGTGCACTTGCAAATAAAATAGTGTGGCATTAAAAAGAAGTTAAAGTGGAGATGCAATAATTGACATGTTTGTGGTCTGAATTTTTCTATCGTTTGTCAAAGTGCAATAAACAGACATTATGCCGATAGCTTTAAGAAGAAATGTAGTTAATAGGTAAAAAAAAAATAGTTTCTAATGGTCCTTGATTTGCTCCTTGAAGGTCGTGGCCGTGGCAGGGGATATCGTGGAAGGGCCCGTGGGTTTAGATCTAATGGGCCAATGCATGCAGCTGCATGAGATGGTTTGTAGTGGTCCTTGAATGATATGGAAATGATGGTGTTAGATTCGCATATCCAGTCATGTTTATGAAATTTTTTGGTCGTTCTTTATTTCTTCTATAGATTAGGTTTGGTCAATTTTTTCTTCATATTTAATCACCAGCAGTTTAGTAGCATGTGTGGGAGTTGGTGTCGATGTTGATGTTCATGAGTAGGCTTAGAATAGTTGCATGTCGGGTTTCTACTAGTGCAGCAGCAGCCTCACACTGTAGGAGGGGCTGGTCTTTTTTGGGTTTATTCCGTAGCATTAGCTCTTATTATATGTTTTGAACAATTGTAAACAGAATTTCCCCCCTATTAAAGAGTTTTGCTACTTCGCTTGCTGTTTTCCTCTTTTCCTATTCTATTTGCCGTTAGACCTAAAGAATAGTTTTGTGATATAAATAGGGGAATAAAACTTAAAATCAACTTTCATTTAGGTCACACAGCCATTCTAGTTGATGACTTGTTCTTATAAATTTAGTTTTTTTTTTTTGGTCCGGATTTCAAGTTTGAATATGAACTTGTAAAGATAGATATATATAAAAAAACAAATATCAAAATGTGGACATAAACAAAACCTCCAGAGCTTAGTAAGTTTTTGGAGCTGAAGTTGGTTTTAGTTAGGGTGATCGTTCAATTGAGTCGAATTAAAAAATTGAGTTGATAAATCATATTTTATATTTAAATTTTATTTGAAATTATTTTGAATTGCGTTTATAAAATTCGGGGTTAGTTTTTTTAAGTTTTTATTTATATTTAATTTTAAATATTTATAATGTTATGGTATTTTTTATTTTAATTTATATGATTTTTTACAATTTTATATTTGTTTGTATTTTTTATATGTGAAATATGTGTATCATAATTTGTTTATGACTCAAACACTGTTAGAGATGTACAAGCTTAGATATCTCGCAACAAAAAAGATACTTACAGATTCTAACCACCAAAATACAGTAACAAAGAATTTTGAACAAAATAAAACCCTAAACCCAGGAAGAGAACCCAACAAAAAGCCAAAAACTTCAAGTAAAATAATGTTGCAAAACAGAAACACTTACGATCACATGAAGTGGAAATGACAACATTCAATTTCAGAAGCTGTTAAAAAGGGAAAAACCGATAAATGAAGTGAAATTATGAAGAGATAAGATAGGGATGGGCATGGGTCGGGTTTTTGGTCCACCTAACCCGACTCTACTTGAATATATAACTTAAAAACTCGATCCGAAATAATAATAAAATTTATTTTTATTTAATAAAAATAATGACTTAATTGAAAAAAAGTATATATAGAGATGTATTATTGTAATTATTCTTAAATATATAAGGTAAAATTATATTTTTTTCCGGGTCGGGTCGAGTATTTTTCGCCCTAAACTCGAACCCAACCCAAATAATACACTTAAAAAAATCCAACCCGAGCCAAACCCGAATTTTTTTCAGGTTCGAGTTGAGTGCCCATCCCAAGATAAGACGGTAGTAGAGACGAATCTACGTGGGAGATGGGAGAAGTATCTGCCTCTAACTTTGATGGTTTAATTAGTTTTAAGTCATTGATATTTTTGAAATTATTACAATTAAACTATTGTCTCTTAAAATTTACTGGTTTAAGTATACTTTAGGACCCTTTCGGTTTTAAAATAAAATATTGACTTCTAATTTTATGGTTTAATTATTCTTTAAGACCTTTCAATTTTAGAATTAAATCATAACTCCTTAAATTTTATGATTTATTCAATTTTAAAGACCCTATTATTTCAAAGTTAAATAACTTGTCCCTCTCATAGTTCAATCTGGACTCTGTCCCTAGTTGTTAGGAAGGTGCAATGAAGGGTAAATAAGTCCGATGGCTTTTCGACTAACAAATGTAGTTGACAACAAATATAAATATTATTGTCAAAATTAAGGAAAAAGGATAAGATGTGAAAATTTTGAGGATTATAATTGATATTATATCATTTTACGTCATTATTTTTGTTAAATCAACAGTCAAATATAATTGTAAGTGATCAAAATAAAAATGAAACACAATATTAAGTATGATTTAAAAAGAAGTATTTAGATGACTAAAACATAAACACAAAAGTAAGTGGATGATCAAATAGAAAGTTTATCCTATTTAATATAATAAATTTGGTTGAAAATTCAAAAAAGGAACCCACTAATTTGGATTTGGGGTTATTTAGGGCCCAACCGAGAATTCCACTATCTGAAATCTGGTATAATAGAAAAATGAATCAGTTATGGAGGAAAAACGTATTCGACAAAGTGCAAACCCTCGTTCTCTCCCCATGTTTAATTCAATGTTGGATACCATGGTGGACCAACCACATAAACCTGAAAAAACAGCCACGAAGAAAACAACTTACAGCAGCAACACGAACAAGACGAAGAACAACAGCATCAGCAATCTGTACGTGAAAATGCAGAATATGAAGATGAAGAGTTACACAAGCTTCTAGTTCCCGACATAACCCAACTTCCTCTCACTCCCCTTTCTTCTGTTGAATCCAACTTTGCCTCTTACTTTGCTCCAGGTCCCCCCCCGTTTTCCCCCAATCAATATCGAATTATCTAATTTTCATGGGTTTTGCTAATGAACCCCTAGGACTCAGGCACTTTGAAATTGGATGATTTTCTTGTGTATAGTACTGGTTTTGTTTTAAATGTATTAGTTAATTACCTAATTCATGATTTTCTTTGCATTGGTTGAAGTGAAGATGTCACTGTATAATCATTATTTTATATTTAGTGTTCTGAATCCTCTAATCAAATTAAATTTTACGGATTTTATGAAACCAGGAACGACCAGTATGTTCGTCATGCCAATGGTTAAGAATTCCAAACTTTTTTTGGGTTTTTTTTTCAACAAAGAAAGAATGTGAATTTTGGGTTGAATGAAATTAAATAATCTGAATTTGTAGATTGTGTTGTTGGATTGGCTTCAACTCACTTGGCATTCAAGGAAAAATGTGGGATCACCGCGGTTGATTTCAATGTGGCAAATCCGATCGAAGTAGTATGAAAGTCACTGGAAAGAGAAAGAAGGTATCTCCTTTTTTATTTCTGTATTTGATTAGAAAAGCGTTTGATTATTTTTTTGCAATTTGAATTCCACTTTGGGTGTTTAAAGAGGTCTATCAATGTGAAGTTCTTTGTTGGAGATCAAAGAGATTAATTTCTTTCACGGAATCAGAGTATTAGCTTTGACAATGTCTAATCGTAGTTAAATATGCTGCTCTTGTAGAATGCTCAACACTTCGAGTCCAATAAAGCTTTGTGCAAGGTTTGCACCATTGCTGATTCGTATATATTAAGGTGGGTACGATCAGGGTTTTAAATCGCGGTCGCGTTTTCGGTCATTTCGGGTTTACCGTGATTGTGGCCGTCGCTATTGGGCGTTATTGTGGGTGTAGAGGGTAACTCGGACGGCGGCAAAACCGCTATATCGCGGATAAAATCGCGGTCTCGGAACGTTTTTTGAAACCCTGGGTACGATTATTTTCGTGCAGCATCTCTTCCTCCCCTCGTTTCCCCTTCTTTTTTTGTATTGAAATGAATAGCAGTTTTGGGCAGGTGTTGTGTTAAGGGCTCTCTTTTGGAAGTAAATGAAAGTTTAATCAAACAACCAGAGCTGCTTAATTCATCGGTGAGTGTAACTCTGCCGCTCTTCTTTACTGGTTCCTCAATCCATATATGTTGGCAACATCAGAATTTTGTGGTTGAAATTGAATGCTTGTGAGTTGTGATGGTGACACATTTGTCATCTCAAGCACCCCATGTTCTTCCCTGCAATTCAAAAGACATACATCAGGATAAAAGATAATTAGTATTTTAAAGTATGGCATAATTTGGTCAATTACATGCTTGGCAGCGTAAGTATATTACCTATATAGAATTGGTGTAAATGTCAATAAAAGGATGCTCAAATTTGTTGTTCTGAATCGGGATATGGAAGAGTGCTGAGATAGGTTGTTATGTAAAGGCTTATTGTGCTGAGCTAATCTGGGATTCTTTTAATTTGACAATATTGTTTTCTAAGTGTGGCAAAGTTTCTGCAGCCATTTAAAAATTCAGATTTATCGTTTTTGTCGACTGCAGGCAGATAAAGAAGGATACATAGCAATTATAATGCCAAAGCCAGCGGACTGGCTTAAGGTTAAGGCTTCCTTGTTGAGCCTTGAAGAATTCAAGAAATTGATAGCACTTTGCTGAATTTAACCTCTAGAAAATCAAGAGAAGCCGGCTCTATACTCCATCACAAGAATTCAAGCTGAAGGAATCCTTTCATTGCCGGTTTTTCTGACGTATTTTTCCCGTGTTTAGTTCCCCACAGTGACAAACTCTATTGTTTCTACTGTCCTAGATTTGGGTTGGGTGAACATAACACTGCTTCATTTTCATTGTTTTACTTTCCCATCACATGAATGATAGAAGTGAAGTAGTTAGGCATTTTCAACTCCATGATTCATTTACAAAGACGAAATGAAAAAGAAGTATTAATGCCTAAGGTCTATAGCAATCAGACTTTTTAATCTTCAAGACACATAATTATGCCATGATCAATGTCTTGACTATGGCTGTGAATCAAGTATTTCTTCTATGACATGCTGTCTCGATCTGTTGATCGTGTGTGAAACCATAACTTCGTATGTTCTTCAAGCTCCTTCAGTTGTTCCAAGAAGCTTTGAATCTTGCATATGGAATTCTCCTACAACCCCTCCAGTACCTCAATATTCCTGTTTCTGATGCACATTTTAGCTACGGCTTTACGGTGTTCGATCTCGTCGTGTAGTCTCCATACCAGTCTACTTATGGTATTGAAATAGTTGATCTGTTGATCTGTTGAATGCTGAAGTGGAGGAAAGTAAAATTCCTCTATATTTACAAGATTTATTAGAAGAGTTCCAGGAAGTGTTTGAGGAACCTAAAGGGATGCCTCCTAGCAGAAGACATGATCATGCCATTGTTCTGAAACAGGGGACACAACCAGTCAATTTAAGACCCTATAGATTTGCTCATCATCACAAGACTGAAGTTGAAAAACAGATTGCACAAATGTTAGCCTCATCTATCATACAAGTAAGTAAGAGTCCTTTTGCTTCTCCTTGTTTACTTATTAGAAAAAAAGATGGAACTTGGAGGTTTTGTGTGGACTATAGGCAGCTTAACTCTTATACAGTTAAGAATAAATTTCCTATTCCTATAGTAGAAGACTTATTAGATGAATTACATGGGGCTAAATTCTTTTCAAAGATTGATCTGAGATCTGGTTATTGGCAAATTCGGATTAAAGAGGAGGATGTTCATAAAACTGCTTTTAGAACTCATCAAGGGCACTATGAATTTAAAGTTATGCCTTTTGGCCTGACTAATGCCCCAGCTACTTTTCAAGCTTTGATGAATGACTTGTTTGGAGCATATTTGAGGAGGTTTGTTCTTGTGTTTTTTGATGATATTCTGATTTACAGTTCCAGTATGATAGAGCATAAAAATCATTTAAGAGTGGTGTTGGAAATTCTGTTGAAGAATAGTTTGTATGCCAAAAAGAGTAAATGCTTTTTTGGCCAACAGCAAGTAGAGTATTTGGGACATTTAATTTCAGCTAAGGGAGTAGCAACTGACCCTGAAAAAAATAAAGGCTATGCAACAGTGGCCTTTACCTAAAAATCTAAAAGCTTTGAGAGGATTTTTGGGTTTGACAGGGTATTATAGAAAATTTATCAAAGGGTATGGAGAATTGAGTAAACCCTTGACTAATATGTTGAAGAAGGAAGGATTTCATTGGTCTCCAGAGGCTAAATTATCTTTTGAGAATTTAAAAAGGGTTATGTGTGAAGCTCCAGTTTTGGCTTTACCAAATTTTGAGCAGAAATTTTTTTTGGAAACTGATGCTAGTTCCAGGGGCATTGGGGCTGTTTTATCTCAAGCAGGAAGGCCTATAGCTTATTTAAGTAAGGCTTTGGGGCCAAAGCATGCAGACCTCTCTATCTATGAAAAGGAATACTTGGCCATCCTAATGGCAGTATCCCATTGGAGGCATTATTTGGAAAGTGGCTCATTTGTGATTAAAACAGATCATGAACCCCTAAAACACTTACTAGAACAAAAGCTGACTACTACAATCCAAAAGAAAGGTCTGACTAAGTTACTTGGATTGGATTATACAATTCAGTACAGGAAAGGCAAAACAAATAAGGTGGCAGATGCACTTTCTAGACAGCGATTGGATTCTGGGGAATTTTTGCAAATGGGGGTTACTGTTGTAATTCCTACTTGGAGACAGGATATTGAGCAGAGTTATGAAGGGGATCTACTAGCTCAAGAGAAGATTCATATTTTACTTATTCAGCCTGACAAGATTGAGAATTGGAAGAGAATTAAAGGAGTTTTATACTTCAAAAACAGAATTTATGTGGGCAGCAAAGGAGATCTCAGGCAGAAAATTATGGTGGCTTCACATGATTCACCACAAGGGGGTCATTCAGGTATTCAAGCTACTTATCAGAGGGTTAAAGCTTATTTTTATTGGCCAAAAATGAAGCTTATGATTCAAGAATATCTACAACAATGTGAGGTTTGTCAGAGAACTAAAATTGAACACATTTCTAAGCCAGGTTTACTACAACCTATTCTAGTTCCAAATAATGCATGGGAAGTTATAACAATGGACTTTATTGAAGGGTTGCCACCTTCAACAAAATACAATTGTATTTTGGTAGTGGTTGACAAATTTACTAAGTATGCTCATTTTATGCCATTGTCACATCCCTACACAGTGGTACAAGTTGCTAAGCTGTATTTGGATCAGGTTTATAAGCTTCATGGTCTTCCTAAGGTAGCTATTTCTGATCGGGACAAGTCTTTTACTAGTCTATTCTGGCAAGAGCTACTTAAACAATTGGGGACAACTACACTTTTCAGTACTGCTTATCATCCAGAGACATATGGGCAAACTGAGAGACTCAACCAGTGTTTAGAACAATATCTCAGATGTATGTGTTTTTTAAAACCTACATCTTGGTCAAAGTGGTTAGCCCAAGCAGAATGGTGGTATAACACTAATTACCACTCTGCTATCCAAATGACCCCATTTGAAGCCTTATATGGTTATAAGGCACCTCTTCTGAGTTGGTCAGGGGATTCTAGAGTGGATGCAGTACAAACTATGATGCAAGATAGAGAGCAATTTAATGCTTTACTACGTGAACAACTACTTAAAGCCAGTAACAGAATGAAGCAGATTGTAGATAGGCATCGTACAGAAAGGGATTTTCAGGTTGGAGAGGAAGTTTACCTGAAACTTCAGCCTTACAGACAGACATCAATCGCCTTAAGGAAAAATTTAAAGCTTGCTGCTCGATATTACGGTCCCTACAAAATGCAGAAAAAAATTGGTCAGGTTGCGTATCAACTGGAATTGCCAAATGATTCTAAATTACATCCAGTGTTTCATGTTAGCTTATTGAAGAAGAGAATCGGAAAACAGGGACTTGTCTCGCTGAATCCTCCTGAAACATCTTCAGATGGTCAATTGAAAATTTACCCAGCAACCGTGTTGAACCGACGCGTGGTGACACGACAGAAGCAGAATGTTACTCAACTGTTGATTCAGTGGAAGAACATGGGACCAAATGATGCAACGTGGGAAGATGCTTCAGTGTTGCAGAACCAGTTTCCCGATTTCGATCCTTGCGGACAAGGATCGTTTGATGGAGGAGGTACTGTCACGAGGGAAGGGGAGTTAGGGTTTGAAGGTTTTAATTTGGGGAAAAATCGAAGAAGGAAGTTGGGGAATCATCAGCAGAAAGGGGGAGAGGAGAGAAAGGAATTAGGGATTGAAGGGGATTAGGGATTGAAGTTTTATCTGAAGAGGGAAAGGCAAAAATAAGGACAGGAGAATGGGTCATACGGGATTGGGTATGGGTTAATAAGGTAACTGGGCTTTATTACTTAGACCCAATTAATATATCAGTAGGCTTATGAGTTAAAGGGTGGGGCAGGTCTGGATCTAAGTCAGAAGTGAGAGGGATGGAAGGGTGAGTCATCATTTAGACGGTTAATTTGTTAGATTGCTGAATTGCCAGCTGGAGGTACTGTCTATATATAATTGTACCCAGAATCTTTGAGGAATTTATCTTGAGAAATGAAAATGCACACTTTCTGTAACCTATTCTCTCTATTTTCTTAAATCCCTAAAAAATTCTTCTATCATTCTATCCTAAACCATAACAGTTTAGTAATAGAAATTAATTTTTAATTTCCTTTGACTTTAAATAAAATATTAATTTAACTTTTATTATAAAATATAAATTTTACCATTAAATTTTAGATAATTAATTTAATCACTAAATTTGATCAAAATTTCTTGTCGTCGATTGCAACTCACCATTGTCGTCAATCACTGTTGGTTATCATTGGCCGTCGTTGGAGTCCAAAATTTTCAATCCACTCTATTTTTACCTTTTAAGATCGAATTCAATGAATGTTTTATTGAAATCCATAATCATCTTCTTTTAAAACTAAATTATACTCCATAATAAATTTATCCTTAATATTTATTTCTAAAAAAATAAGAACATTATAAATCTATCTGTATCATATAATTTTTTTAGATTTTTACCATGTAAATTTTCTTCAAATCGAGTATTTATAATTAGCAAACATTGTATATGAGAGAGAAAACATACTGGAAAAACAATTAAAAAGTAAAAACCACCATATTAAGAGCACAAAGTGTGCACATATAGCCTGTATGTGTGCCCAGGAAATAAACTCTTACCAAGTAAAGTTTATTGCATGTAGAACAATGCTGAACACTTCTCCCGAGCTATATGCGATGAGCATAAAGCCTGAATGTTCGATTTGCTAATGTTGACAGTACTTTACAATGAAAGTGTCTTACACATATCGTTGGAACTTCAAAACACGGCTGTACTTTGGTACATTTCTTTTGAAAATTAAAAAATTGATGCACAAAACAATGGATAAATATAATTTAATAGACGCAGTGTTGTATTATACAACATTCAAGTCAAAATTGTGTTTCCATTCAAATGCATCTTCATCGATGGACTTGCAAGTTGAAACTCAATCTTACTGCCAAAACTAACTCAAAATAGTTACTCCTTTCGGAAAGCAAAGTTGATCCTATGAAGGCTCCTTTGCAAATAGCTGTGAGACGGACTTTATTACGGCCTGCCTGCATTATTAACATTAAGACAATAAGCCAATTCATTCAATTACCATCAATACCCAAGCAAAACAAAAACTAGGGTCAAGCTTAAGCTCAATCTCATCTCTCAATGGTGCAAGTTTTAATACATCATCCTTCCTTGGTAGAAACCAAGGAATTTAGTATCATTTTGATCACAGCCACTAGAAGAGAAAACAAAAAAACTTCCAACCATCACATGTATGTTGATCACCGTAGTTTGGTTACCAATACGGAATAGTTAGATTTAGCACTTTGGTTCTTTTGGATTAAAAATACAGTTCCTTTACACCTTTTAAACAGTAGTTTGCTTTATTACTTGAGTTCCTAAGGACAAAACATACAGTCACGCCACCCAGAATTCAAGATCAACTGCAAATATGCAGGTTTGCATTGATTAGAATATTCAGTTGCTGTGCATATTTCAAATGTTGAGATTGTTTGTTAGGGAAAGATGCATCACGGCCAATCAATCACAATGACATGTTACAGAGAAGTAAAAGAAGATTTTTTTACCAAAAGGTGAACGCAGTTGATCTAGTTGAGGACTGTTGAGATCCTAATTTCTTTTCTACAGAGCTGGAGTAAACAAGCCTTTCAAATTTTGCTGATAGCTCTTGATACAACTGAAACTCCGATGGTCGTGCTTGTCTGATTGCAGCTTTCAAATGGCGCATTGTTACTTCTTCAGCATCAAGGCTCTCCTGATTGCAAATTCAACTTAAATTAACAACGGTGAGAAACGTTCAGAAAACCAAGCTTAGACTCACAAACCTCAAGAGCTATGACAGCTGCCTCTCGGCAAATCAATGATATATCAGCACCAGTACAGCCCTCCGTGAGATGAACAAGCTCTTTTAAGCTGACATCAGTGCTGCAAGGAATTTTGCACAAATGGATACGAAATATATCTTCACGGTCATTCTCATTTGGCGGTCCAACATATAACAGTCGATCAAAACGTCCTGCATGAATCTTTGTTAGATGTTATTAGGAAGTAACCATGTTTATGTTACAAGTAATAGAAAGTTGTAAAATTGGCTGTGCTTTCTCCTCTATATCAAGAGCGGAGGGAAGAGGTGAGAGAAAAGACCTGGTCTTAGAAGGGCAGGGTCAATCTTGTCTGGTCTATTAGTGGCTGCAATAACCGTAACATCAACTCTTTGATGCAAACCTAGATCAGCAAGAGTTACAATCCAGTCAGTATATTTAAAAAAAGAAAAAAGAAACCTTAAGTGTTTTATTCCATATGAGAAAACAAGATACATTATAGTTATAATCCAAATAGGTGAGATGGAATCTCCTGAAGGAGGCTAAATCAAAATGAACATGCTTTAAATTAAAATACTCTAGGTATAAGCAAAGCTCAATAGATGCGTTAGTAAAAAGAAACAGAGAAGTCATGCAAGAGCACCATAAATATAAGAGGGGAACTAATGCTTCACATCTACTACTAACCATCCAACTCAACAAGAAGTTGACTCATGACCCTATCAGAAACTGAAACCCCATCAGTATCCTTCCCACGAACTACGGCGAGGCTATCAATTTCATCAAAAAATATGATTGATGGAGCATTAGCCCTTGCCTTTGCAAAAAGGGATCTCACTGCCTTCTCAGATTCACCAACCCATTTGCTGAAAAGTTCTGGACCTTTCACTGCTAGAAAATTTAATCCAGCTTCCGAAGCCACAGCACGAGCCATAAGGGTTTTGCTACAACCAGGAGGTCCAAACATCAACACCCCTGTGGGAGGCCGTGTACCAATCCTCTTAAATGCATCCTGGTGTTTTTGAGGCCATTCAACAGCTTCCATCAACTGAGTTTTGACCTCCCTTTGACCACCAACATCTTCCCAATTAACTTTTGGAACTTCAAGTATGATCTACAAGTACAGAACAAAGGTCATACCTCTCGCTAAACAACAGTTATATCTTAGTCATAAATTTTTGTAAAAATAAATCTACTAGCAATTCTAAGAAGTTAGAACTTCTATCCTTTTTAGTTAAAATATATTAAAATAATGTTGAAAGCATAAAATTTTGTGCACGGCAACTGTTTTTGGTGTTGTCATTGCAGTAGTAGAGATTGGTAACATTGAAAAAATGGGAACAAAATATTTCCCCAAACAACAATTATATCTTAGTCATACCTCACGCATGGCACTCGGTCTCACTTTCATCCTGGCCTTCTCAAAATCTTCAAACACCACTCTTAGTAGGCAATTTTCTTTCACCAAAGATGTCCCTTCAGAAATATTGTCAATGCCATTCTGGATACTAGCTGTTGTTCGTAAGACTGCCTCAGAAGAATCAGGCAATTTGCAAGAAGATGAAGAATCTAAAAAACTAGTTGAAATGTCTCTTAAAACACTTGTACATTCCATTCCCTCCATATTATTGCCTGACAGGCCTACATATGTAATTGGCATTCTAAAAGATTTCTGACCATGAGAAGAAACTTTAAATTTAGAGTAACGCCTAAGACAAACTAGGGCTGCCTCATTACAAAGGGAAGCTAGATCAGCACCCACAAAACCATGTGTAGTCATGGCAAGTTGCTGAACTTGAATATCTGAAATGCAGTGATCGATTTTTCTGAGAAGAGTGTGCAGTATATCTAGTCGTTGCTTTGGAGATGGCACACCTACATTTAAATTAGCAATATATCACATCAGAAAGAAGGTAAGAAGATCTGCTAAATCAGTTTGTAATAACATCATAAACAATTCGTAGAACTTGAGATGGAGTAAATGTTGTAATTTATTATATCACATGAATGTAAGAAAAGAGTTACCATTAAGAAAGATTATCAAGGTAATGAAATTTAATATCAAAGACAATCTTTTATCTTACCTATCTCAAGTTCCCTGTCAAATCTTCCAGGTCGTCTAAGTGCAGGCTCAATGCTATCAGGCCTGTTGGTAGCCGCAATGACAAGTACTCCATCAGTTGTACTAACCCCATCCATCAAATTCAACAACGTAGCAACCATTCTTTGGGATAGCTGTTCGCCTCCTTCTTTTCGTGCAGGAGCTATGGCATCTAACTCGTCAATGAATAACTACATAGAGGAACTGTCAGGTTGCATTTAAGAGGCATAGAAGCTATGCAATACGCCCTAGAAAACATGACCTTCAATATTTTTCTTCAAAAGATAAAAACAGAAGGGTTAAAATTGACATGTTAAAATTTTGCTTATACATCTTACATCCAAGATTCTTTTCTTAATCCTCTTCATGTTGTCTCAAATCTCAATGACTTAAGCATAGAGTTGTAAGCACACAGAAGAGAAGTCAACAAAACTATTATGTTTGACAGAAAAAAATCTAACCACAGAAGGTGCAGCCTGTATAGCTGACTCAAAAACTTTGTGCAATTCTTGCTCACTTTCTCCATGATATTCACTAACAATCTCAGGTCCATTAACACAGAAGAGGCTAACACCAGCATCACGGACACATAGCCGTGCCAAAGAAGTCTTTCCCGTTCCAGGTGGACCATGAAGAAGTACTCCTTTCGTAGTTTGCAAACCAAAACTAGAACAATTACATTAGTCATCATCATTTATATTTTGCTATGTGAAACAAATGAGAAAAAAATTAAAGAAAAAGAGTTACTTGTGAATGAATGCATCAGAGAATATCTGATAAAATAACAAGAAGAATACTGCTTAAAAACAGAAAAATGATACATTCCATTAAGAAATAAAAAGAGAGAATATTTTCCATGTTATAGAAATAAAAACCCACAGAATATATAAATTTTAGGTCCCAGGCTGGACTTTCTAGCCCTCATAATCTCATTTATCATGGACCATTCTTCAGTCAAGAACATTAAAACAAGTTTCAGAGTCTGATGCTAACCAGCTGGTGCAAAATCTGATCCTCTGTAATTTACCTTTTTACCAACAAATACATTCTACGCATTAAAACATGCCTAGTCTTCATTGTAATGAGAATATTGTATTTACATGGAAACAAGAAGCCTTCACAGAATAGAATAGTATTTTCTATAACAAACCACTGAATAATACTATTAGCTCCAAAAAGTAAACAAGAAGGGCAAATTTTTATATCATTTACCTTGATAAAGCATTCTTCACCAATGAGAAAATGATTTCCCTCAATATTGCATATTCTCTAGACAAGCCACCCAGTTCTGAAATATCTTGCTCCACAATTGTTTTCACATCTCCAAGGTCATGTTGCACACATGGTGAAGGTCTTTCAAATTGATTTTCAGAAGACAAATCCGATGGCGAACATAAGTATACTTTAGACTTGTGGTCAATAACAAAAGCACTATTCACATGCACCGTCGGTTCAAGAGTTTGTGGGGCCAAGCTATGATTATTTCCATTTGTCAAATCCTGATTACTGATACCAGCACCTATCACACGGAAAATGCAAAGCTCTGAAAGTATTGGAATTGCCACAATATTTCCACGCAATAGATTACGTGAATACAACCATGAAGTAGCACATGCCTCTAGGAGTTTCTTAGAACTTTCATCCCTTAATATCTCTTTAACATCAAATGAATCAGAACATAGACCATTTGGTTTGGAGATATTTGATGCTGATCCTTCACAAAAGGGTGAATCTAACCGAGTAGAACGAAGAGAACTCAACTTAGGCTGATATAATGGCGTCTTAGGAGATGATGTTATTCCATTCTCATGAGTTTTTCCAGCCGAGCATTCCATTTTAGATTGCAAATCATAGTTTGTATTTACCGTATTCTTAGAAGTCGGCTCTAGATGCAATTGCTGGCAGCCATACAATGAGAGGCAATTAGCATTTAGGTTATGTCCCCTTTCACTCCCATTTATAAGACCAGTTTGAAATTCACTTTGTATGGGGTAAACAAAAACAATGCTGCCAGAAGAGGGAGAACCCAGCGCATATGAAAGGCTTGAAGACAGTCTCACTCCATTCTTCAAAACCTAGAAAGAAAGAAAGAATAAGATTAAGGTATAGAATCCAATCTCCATGACATCACCAATAGAATCTCTGAAATTTAGAAGGTAAAACGTTTTTTTTTTCATTTGATAAATAAGAAGGTGAAACTTAAGACACGGCATCAAGTCCATAATATACAAATTAATTCACGATATATAAAACCAAGATTTATAAGGTTAAATATATACGATATTCCATCAATTCACCTTAACGAAACACACAGCCTTAAAAGACCCTCTGCAAAAATCAAAATAAGCTACTACATAATCTCCATGAGTAGTTACTGTCTCCTTGCAGAAATATCAAGTAACCATTTTTTATTTAATTTTAAAGCATCAACGACAGTTGAGGAAGCATCCACTTTCTTTAACTTCATAACGCAGTTTGTCTACCTAAACTTTAAGAAGAAGAAAAATTCAAACGCAAAAGGAGAATATATAATATAAAGAGAATCAGACTACCATGTGATTGTCATTCGAACCTTACAAGAGGGAAAAACTGTTGCAAGTGCAAAGTAGTTTCCAGCTTCTTTTGCAATTTCATCGGCTGAACCAACACCAAAAGGTAGATCATATTCATCTGTTACTGAACTTAGAGGAAAGCCATTTGAATGTTTATTTTTTAAAGCAGCAAGTGAGACCTGGGAATGGATTAGAAAATAATTCAATAGCAGGACAGCGGTGGAATATGGGGGCGGGGATGCAATCCGAGAAAATTACAAGAGTCAAAGTGAATTACCGATACTAATGAACCAGGGGTGAGATAAGAAGCAACCACAGAAGATTCTGACAGCCAAATTTTACAGCTTCTAGTTTCAGAGTCAACATGATTAACTCTGCCAATGAAAGCCGATTTTCCAATAAGAGAAGGATATTGCCTCGAAACTTCATCAAGAAAGCCCCTAAGATCTTCTTCATCAACTTGTGCATCTACAGAAGTCACAGATGGTGTCCGTGGAGAAGCTGACGGGTCAGAATTTGAGTGTCTAGAAGGCGTCTTTGATTGCTTCTTGGACTTTGAAGGCATCTCGACAGTAGAGTTGGGGTAGGAAATAGTTGTGGATGAAGTTATCACTGACCACAAATGGCTGAAACACGTTACAAAAATAATTTTGGGAGTCACAAATCAGAATCGATCAAAGTTCATAAACAGGGCTGGGCTATTATTCAATCAAATCGAAAATGAACTACTTGCATAGCATTAGATACTGAATGACCCAAAACGTGTGCATGTGAAAATGGATAAATTGGTAAAAGTGCACCCACGAGAAATTTTCGAATTGAATCGCAAGATAACATCCCAATTAAGCTTCGAAGATTTCAAAGTGCACAAATTATGAGGAAAATGACAGAAAAATACACTTTTACCTTGGCAAGAGCAGAAATTGCTAATTGCTAATTGCTAATTGCTAGCTTGGATTCCAACGGTTCCGCTGCAGACGGTGAGGAGGAGACTGGAGATAAGAAAGTGGGATAATTGAGTGGGGAAAAGTTTGACAGAAAATGACGAGTTCAAACCGTCTAGGAATTAATTTTGCCCGTGACAAGAGTTCAAACCGGACGCTACTTCAAACAGCCTTGTCTAGGGTTTTAAATAATATTTTCTAATACTATTATCAAAAGTTTCCCCTAGGACGCTACTTCAAACCCTAGACGGTGATATTAATTCCTTATATTATCAAAAGTTTAATTACCCATAATTCTATTATTAAAACAAAACAGTCCCCACGACTTCAAGAAAATCAAAAGAATCATTCCCTCCAGTCATTATTTAGGACTCTTCCCGTAGCTATCATCATATCGTCACATCATACAGTTCCATCAGCGTTTGCCTTGACCCAACCCTCCGGTGATCGTTGCTATTTGGATGTTCTCTTGTCATAGTTTACATTCTTTTGTCGGATTGTTCTTCTCAGCAATATCTCATTAGCAAATCTTCTACTTCGCACTAGGAGACTGTAATGCTCGATGAAATCACTGTTAACAATTTTGGAATTTTGAAGCTTCCTTAGATTTCAGCACACCACTGAAAATAAGACATTCCAATCTCGATTCAATTGCAGGATTATCTAAATTGCGCAAATTTTCCCATGTCCATACATGGAAAGCTTCAACGTAACAATTATTTGATACCATATTATTATTTTTTGAATAAATATATAATTTGATATTTGGATTTTATTTCAAAATATAATTTAATAATTAATTTTTTCAATTAATTACTTATATTTTTAAGATTTAATTTTATTTTTTAATTAGATATTTAAATTTGATTTATTGAAATATTTAGTTTTTAGTCAATTTAAAGTAATAAATTAAGTTCAAATATCAATTTTAACTAAAAAACTAAATTTGGATATTTAATAGTAAAAAATTAATTATTAAACTGAAATCGAAAACTAAGTTTAGATATTAGGTTAGACAACAAAATTAGATAATAAATTTAAAATATATATTTACTATTTTTATTGATGGTAAAATATGAGTTGTGACAACTGTGGACAGTTTATTTCTTTCGATTTAGATAAAAAAAATCGTATCAAGTGATTCTATAGAAGGTGATGAATCGTGAATTATGAATTATTTTCGGTTAGAAGAGAAAAAGTCCAGAACCCCTTTTTATATAACAACACTTAAAGTTGATATTAAGTCTAAGATGATGATAACTATATGTAGATTGGTAAGACAACTAGGTATGATTATCTAACAACAAATTTAACTCTGTCAAATCATACAAATATGTCGACAATTATGTCAAAACTATGATTGATCGAATCATATAAATTTTTTTAGGCTTTAATGAGTAAAATGTTTCTTTGTAAACCTCGATGGACAATGATAGCTATAGCATGACTTACCCAAAAAAAATAACATATAAAAGATGGTCGTAATAAAGATGAACGACAGTAGTAGGTATATGGGTGAATCAGTTTAACCTCAATAAAGACGCCGCAATTCTGGTTTGTGCCTTAAACATTGCAATAGAACATTAATTTTCAAGTTCTTATGCAAAATACAGATAAAAGGTGGCCGTAAAGAAGGAAATCAAGTCTCTAGGAAATGATTACTCAAGTTGTGATGGCATTTGAATGCAAATCGATGACCCTTTTGTCTTATCCAACGAATCGTTTCCTGGTTTAAAAAAAATCAAATTATGTAAACATGACTTAAACCAAAATTTAATGAATTGAAGAAATAAATTGGCCGACTCAGAGAGAAAGCTAGCTACCACCACAAGAGGCTGTGCCATAGGGCTTCTGTTTCAGCTGTGTTTGTTCACAAACAAAGATGGTAACAACATTTTGCTGCTATTTAACATAGATGTTTAGAGAATGGAGGGAGGATAGACATATTTTAGATAAGGTTTCTCGGTTTGCGTTGTTGCAGGTTTTAGGCTGTTGATTTGTGACTATTGGATCAAGTCACTAAATTTAGGAAGTTGATAAATCATGCAGTAAAATTTTTGAGGTATCCAGAGTTCAATTTCAGGCAGATTTTATAAGCACAAGATGTACTCATGGAAGAAGTGAACGGAGAGTAGCCTAGCCTGCAACTTAGCTTGCAAAATTTTTGAAAGAATATAATCTTCTGCATTTCTTGAATGCAAATCATACCGGTCTAATTAATGGTAATCTCAAGAAAAGAAATATATTTGCGATTTAAAAAAAGACCCTAACTGACAATTTTATTAGTAAAAAATTTAAAAATAACAAGACAAAGTAAAACATTTCCCAAGTAGAATTTCATGTCACTTTTTTCCATCTGATCTATTTGCAGTTAAAATTCCCTTCGAACTTGGTCCCAAATCTATGCCATCTGGAAGAAGCATAGACAATCCATAAATCAAAAGCAGAATTAATTAGTTTTAACCAAAGAGATACATGTCTTCAATAACCAAAATCCAACCACACAGAGAATTAAAACGAAAGAAATGAAGCAATGACCCCATTAATAAGAACAGTTGCCAGGTTTTGCTTGAAGCTAAGGACATGGATGACCATTTTATAGAAAAGGTTATCACCTATATTCATTTGGCTTTGTGGAAATTATGATAACATTTGAATGCATTGGGAAAATGTTTTTCTCATTTGGGAACACGACTTAAAAGGTAAATTTGAATGAACAAAGAAGGCTAAATTGGATGCTCAAAGAAAGTGCTTGCTGCCACAATTTCAGCAGGGTTGGTTTCTTAACAAGGGTGGTAACAACTTTTTGCTGTTCTTTTACATGGTAGATAGGAGTGCAGAGGGAGGGTAGACACATTGGTCACATTAGCTCTTGGTTTGTATCATTTCAGGATGTAGGATGTTGAGTACTGTTAGGCCAAATCAATAAATATAGGAGGTTAATCAGGGTTCAATTTCAAAAAGGTTTAATACTAAGCACAAGCTATACATGTGGAAGAAAAGAATGACAAAGAGTAGCCAAACCTGCAACTTAGCTGTTGAATATCAGCAGCGTGAGCTTGGGGAAAAAATTAAAAGTATAATTCTCTCTGCGTATCTTGAATGTGTATTGCACCATTCTGAATTGTTACAGATTCATATGCTGATTCTTAGACAGATTCTTAGGCTAATTTATATTATATTCAATGTAATATATTGTGTTACCTAGTTTAGTAATATTATATTTGTATATATACCCCTCTCTACTGATTAATAAAATACACGAGAGACACACGTTCTCTACTGATTTCTACATGAATAATTTATCAGAACATGAGGAACCAATATTTTCAAGGAGGGCCTTTAAGAAAAAGGTACACGATAAATATAGGAAGTTAATCAAGGTTCAATTTCAGAATTCTCTTCTCTGCTGTACAATGAAAATAAAATTTAAGTCTTAGGAAACAAGAAACCTAATAATCTTAGGATTCTAGTTTATGTTCTGCCACATAATGATATAAGAAAATTTCTGTTTTTCACCAAAAATAGCATGGTGTCAAAGTAAGATTCGTAACCCTAGTACTATAACATGGAAAACCTACTGATTGGAGACCTACCCGAAGCCCGCCAAGTCAGGGACAACCATGAAAACGTGGCTAATGCTTCCAACACCAGCACCAAATACAATCCATTCACTAAGAGCAAAAGTATTGCAAAAGCTATTTGGGAAAATGTCACTCCTTTGAACAACATACTAACATGCTAGCACATCAATGTATTTTTTTTCTTCTGCAGATATTATAGAAACCGACACGTTAAGCCTTGGATAGTTGATTTTAGAGCTTCAAACCACACTACTGAAGATATTAATATTTTTCATACGTTGATCCCTCAATCAAGCCTCTCTACGGTCTGAATAGCAGGTGGATCAATCTCAAAAGTGGGAGGAATCAGATCCATTAAATTGATAAATAGCCTTCTTCTCTCATCTATCATTTATGTTCCAAAATTAGATTGCAATATGATTTCTATTAGAGAATTCACTCGTGATTTGAACTGTGTGACTAAATTCAATCAAACCTTTTTGAATTTCAAGTCATTTCTTTGTGAAATTTATCAACTTGCAAATCACACCCGACATGTTTATCCTAGCATCCAATATAAACCTTCACATCCATTTTATATGATCATAATGTCATTTGGGGGCCTTCACGTGTGAAAAATCTTAATGGGGTTTGTTGGTTAATAATCATATCCTTCATAAATTATCACACTATAACCATCTAGACATTCCTTATGAAAGAAAAATACGAAATCAAAAAATATTCAAATTCTTATTATAAGATTCGTACCCAATTCAAAAGCAAGATTTAGATTCTCGAAACAGATAATGGTAGTTATTATTATTTTTAACATCCTTATGTTCATATCTCAAAGAGAAAGAGATTATTCATGTGAGTTTTTGTGTTGACACACTTCAACAAAATGGGATATGGGATAGTCATGAGAAAAAATAGATACCTATTCGAGATAGTTATATCACTCATATTCACCACTCATGTACCTAAACACTTCAAAAAGTTATCTTTACTACCAACTATCTCATAAATAGAATACCTAGTCGAGTCTTAAAATTTCAAAAACCTCAAAAAGTCATCCTTTCTCTATTCCCAGTTGGTTCATACAACCATCTTGCATATAAGAGGTAAATTCCCAACACTTGTAACCCTTCTCTATCTCCAGGTTACTTATTTCTTTCTATCAAAAATGGGTATGGCTACAAAGGTGCCAGCGCTTTGTGACGAGAATTTATACTATATGATTGAACCGTATCAATCATAAGAGACAAGCTGTAGTAAAATTCTTCAAAATACATAATAAATTTCTTCTTAATTTCAAAATCCCCAAATGATCAAAATCATGTTTCAATGATTCAACAAGAATATACATTTAAAATGGACAATAAAGGTATTTAGATAGTTTACTTTTCCTTGATAAAGAGTAACACTTATCATGTAAATAATTACTCATCCCATTGTTCTCGCAGATAAAATTTATAGGTATTAGACAATTATCCTTTACCATTATAAAGGGTAGTCCTCATCATTTAAAAAGTTATTCATCATATTGTTTTTTTTACATAAAACGTACAGATAGCATACAGTTTAT